ATGCTAACTGACGTTTCTCATACCCATTGTTAGTCAATTATTTATACACTGAAATGACAACGGCTTTTCAGTTATTTCCCGATCATGACAAGGATAACACGGCGCGTGTGAGCTGTTGGCAGGGGATGTTCACTCTTCCATGGCACCTGATCCCATTCAGATCTTGAATACTGTTCGTTATCTCCATGTTTTATTCCATAAGAAATAAAAATATATTTTCTTTTTTATATCGATTTGTTTTATGAGTGAAACTCTCCTTTAACTTGGGGGAGGGGGGTGGGGTGGGGTTAAAGAATATATCTTATTATATTTTTAAAAATGTTGAATTATATTATTTGATATATATTCTTAAAGATATATTGAAACAATAATTGATTTTAGAAAAATAAATTGATTCACACTGGACAAAATTGCTAACGCACCACCTAAAAAAATTAGAATTTATACCCTAAAAAGTTGTTTTAATTGTATTTATTGTTTAAATAGGTGGCCTTGGTTATAAGTTATACATTTAAATGCCCAAAGGGATCAATGGATGCAATGTTAACTGAAGCGTAGCTGTTCCTTAGAAATGCTTAAAAATCGTGCTCACGCTTTTTTGAAGAATAAATCTTTACTTTCTTTTTTGTGTTCTTATTATTGATGCATGCATTCATAAAAACTCAAAAATAAATCGACGGGGTATCCGGCGTTTGACCACAGAAGAGCGTGGCAGGGCAGTTGGTATGGTCACTGCAGGATGTTCCTTTAGAGAGGTAAGTTAAAATGTAAATAATTTAACGATTGCCGATGATATTGGCTAAAACATGATACAGCAAGCTTGTTTTATTACAAAAATGTCTTTCTTGGTAGCCACAGCGTTTAACAGGCACCGCACATCAATTGCAAGGTTGTACCGGAAATTCGTGCAAACCGGAAGTGTAGGGGACCGAGCAAGAATTCCAAAGCGCCGAGTAACTACCGGAGACAAGACAGACACATCGCATTATTTCACTTGAGAGACAGAAGCACCATGGCTGTTACAACATCAACGATGATCATTGGTAACCATCAACGCAACATCAGTGCGCAAACAGTGCGAAATCGGCTTAGAGAGGTTGGTTTGCGGGCAAGACGGCCATTTGTTGGAGTTTTATTGACTCAAAGACATCGACAGATCTGCCTGCAGTGGGCAAGACGGCATTTGAGATTTACTCGTGCTGATTGGGCAAATGTTTTATTTACCGATGAGACAAGGTTCAATTTACGGCGTTCAGATGGAAGATTGAGAGTTTATCGCAGGAGAGGCGAAAGGTACACTGCACCTTGTTCTAAAGAAAAGGGACAATTAAGAGGAGGCTCTGTAATGATCTGGGCGGGGATTTCTTTACCCACAAAGACTCATACCATAACCGTGAATCAAAATTTGAATGCTCAGAGATATCAGGATCTCATCATCAGGCCTTGCCTAGTACCACATGTTCGAGCAAATCGCGGGATGATCTTCATGCAGGACAATGCTCCGTGTCATACTGCAAGGACGACAAGAGAAATGCTGCAGAGGAACAACATCAGGGTTTTAGAGAATGGCCGCCGTATAGTCCAGATCTTAACCCAATTGAGAATTTGTGGGACGAGGTGGATAGGCGAATTCGACGACTTCCTGCTCAACAAAATCTTGCAGAACTACAAAGGGACATTTTGAATGAGTGGAACAATGTGCCACAAAGATTTTTACATAATTACATCAATTCTATGAGGCAAAGATGCGTAGCTGTTATCCGAGCAAATGGAGGTCATACCAGATATTAAAAGTGTGAAACACATAATGGGGGGTACCAATGTTTCATAAACTGTACTCAACGCAACTGTTCAATAAATTTGCAAAAAATCATGTTTTATTTTCAGTATTATAATATAGAAGTCTACAGACTTTATTTGTTATATTTAGGAATCACATGATGAGAATTCATTTATTAGATTTCCAGCATATTTCACATTAACAAAGCCCGGCTTGAAATAACAACCAATAGAATACGACAGGATCCCTGATGAAGGCGGTGCCGTGATTTAGATTTTTAATACACCAATACGATATAAAACCACCGTAACACACTGCTAAAAAAAAACAATAATGTCAATAAATAATAACTTATTTAAAAAAGTGTCAAAATCAACATGATCAAAAAGGAATAAGAAAAATCACAGCACTGTGTCGGGTCCTATAAATTTAGAATTGGGTGGGTGATGGGTGTTGCCTATATGCACTTATAGATCGCATTTGATACAATCAGTCATTCATTCTGTTGGAAAAACACCAGAATTGCCTAGGTACAGGGGGCCGCCATTTTGGACACCCAAAGTTGAACGGAGGAGAAAAGCTGACAGGAGTCCTGATTGGTCATTAACCGAAAATCTTTGTGGTGGAATTTAATAGTGAAATATAAGAGATAAAAATGAAATGTGACTTAACAGAATGTGTAAAAAGATATAGGACTTATAAAGGAAGACTTGAGATGAGGGGTGATATTTTACTGGACACTTTCATTCAGTGCGGATCTATACCAGTTGTGAATAGGCCAAAATTTAAAGGAAAAACGCAACGGCACGATATATTTTTCTTGGTGGAATTTTGAAGAAGAGATGTTGAACTTTGTTTCACAGTGACTGATTTTTTGAAAATTGATTATATAAATAAGTGACAGTGATTGGAATTTGTATGGAAGTCTATGGGAAAACATTTGGTGGTGTTTGTCCTGTTGTACGCAACATGGCTTGACCCTTTAATAAGCTCGCCAATTTAGCAAAAAGACAAAAAAAGCGAAAAATTATTCCTCTCGAAAAAAGCGCCAAGTATTGGCCAATATAAGTAAAGCTCAAAGCTACATACTTAACCTCTCCAATCATTCACTTATAGAGTATGAAACATTATTATTAAAGGGATTAATATATATCCCGACCCTACAACAAAAAACAACAAAAACAAAGTCATAAAAGATTTCCTAGAATTTGCAAGAAAACTGAAATGCAAATATCATTTTAGCACGGATGAAAATGAACGTTTACATCCCTTTCGAGAAAATACAGGTTATAAACCTAGCTATACATGCCAAGCACTCGAAAACTATATAGATCTTACACAATTAGAGGTGTCATCAATTCAAATCAAATCAGATGTTTCTAACACATCACCTTCTGAACGGAGGACACTATATGACATACTGAACAATAAAGACATCGTTATCAAAAAAGCAGACAAAAGTAACACTGTTGTTATAATGAATAAACAATAATACATTGAAGAGGGTCTGCGCCAATTATCAACACAGTATTATACTGAAATTGAAAAACCTGATTTGTCTACTATCTACAAATTTATACAGATTAACAAACTAAATGAAATGTTTCAAAAAAGAAAATTACACAAACAAACATTCTCGTATCCGACTAAAAACAAACGAACAGAATGTACGACCAGTGCGACTCTATTTATTGCCTAAAGTACATAAAATGAGGGAAAATGACAATACATTTCCAAACTGTGGACCCATCATATCACAAATAGGGTCACCAACGGAAAAAATAAGTCATTACGTTGATTATTTCCTACTACCTATCGTTCAATCTCAGAAAACGTATATCAAAGATACTAAAGATCTCATCAACAAAATGGAAAGTATCAAACCGCAAAAGAACTTTTAATTTACTCGTCACTTACGATGTGACGTCAATGTATACAAATATGACCTTCAATGAATAAATAATATAAAGAAAATAACTTTAAAACCTAAAAATTTAGAATTGCGTGGCTGATGGGTGTTGCCTATATGCACTAGTTTGTTGTTTTTTTTTTGTTTTTTTTTTCGTTTATAAATTCATGATGTGTTGTGTTGTCTTATATGAATTCATAGTTTTTTGTTTTTGTGTTTTCGTTTATAAAGACATGGTATGTTGTGCTGTCTTGTATAGAAGGATATGGAGATAACGAACAGTATTCAATCTCAAATTCCATAAAACAAAACAAAATAGGAGCAGAGCAAACACGAACCTCCGAAACATCAGACGTTGGATCAGGTGCCATGGAGGAGTATGAATTCATAGTTCGTTGTTTTTTGTGTTTCCGTTTATAAAGACAGAATGTGTTGTGTTGTCTCATATGAATTCATAGTTTTTTTGTTTTTGTGTTTTCGTTTATAAAAACATGGTGTGTTTTGTTTTCATGTATGAATTCATAGTTTGTTTGGGTTTTTTTCAGTTTTCGTTTATAAAGAAATGGCGTGCTGTATTGTCTTGAATGAATTCATAGTTTGTTGTTTTCTTTGTTTACGTTTATAATGAAATGATATATTGTGTTGTCTTGTATGGAATCATAGTTTGTTGTTTTTGTGTTTTCGTTTATAAAGACAAGGTGTGTCGTGTTGTGTAAAAGCTTTTATGGTAAAGTTTTTTGTATCATGCTGAGCTGTCTTGTACAAGTTGTAGATGAAATAAATATATCAAAAGCTTGCTTCAAGACATAATTTTGCAAATTCTATGGCCCATACTATGACCTTCATTAATTTAATACACTTCAGTTGGAATTTTCAAAATTATTTTTTCTGACTGATTTTTTTTTTCAGGTCCATATTTGGATGTTTGCTCTTTTCCTAATTTGTATTAGTTCATGAATAGATTTTTATCTGAAAACTTTAATGGAGTTGTCTAAATTATAAATATCATCCTATAGATACTCAGTACTGCTTTATAAATAAATTTATATATCAATATATAGAAATGTATCAATATACGAGTATGAATGTGTATTATTCGATCAAATAAAAATTACTGTATAAATATTTCTACTACATTAAAAAATGACGCATGTTCATGCAATCCTCTTTAAAAGAATTATAAGTAGCATTTTATAAAGTTTGTAACAATCCTTGAACGAAGACAATTTTTAAAGGGGATAACATTTCCTGTGTACTTGATGTTGATGATAAATGCACCTACTTATTAAACTTAAAAATTTTCATTTATAGATGAAGAAGGAGGAAGTTAAAGAATGCTTGAACTTCCTTGTCGATGAAAGATTTCTAGACAGTTGATAAAGAAGTTTATAATGTAACAAAAAAATTGACTACAACCTTCTGTTTTGCTTCATCTCTAAATATTTGTTGATTATAAAACCCAGTTCTCTTTGTTTCCGCATCTTAGATATGACCTTTATTTGGAATTCAGTGAGTAAGTATATATTTTTTTAATACTCCTTATACTATATTGTTATTGATGATAGACGTCTTGGATTGAAATGGCAATTTGGCAGTTTACTGTATGAATATACATGCTTGCATTATTTTAATTAACACTCTTGATGTGAGTGTGTAAATTAAGTTCTATATTTATCTCTACATCGCTGTTCGGAAATTATTGAGACAATTACATTTACTTCATTAAGGACGGAGATAATTTCATGAAAATTCATCAACATCTTATAAAGAACGTCTCAAACACTTAGGCAAATTTTCTAATTCCTACGATAATTATATAAGTTTTTGTAAAGTAATAAATATGCATATGTCTATCGACCCGGAGCAGCCTCGCTACGTCATTTAACGTTACGTTAGCCGTAGATTGTTTCGCATGTGAAACGATCGGGTAGCGTTTAATACTCTTCCTTCTTTGTTATTACATATATAACATTACAAAAATCAAACAGTCTCTTCTCTTAAACTATTTTTTAAAAATGTATGCTGTTGCTACCCCAGTCAAAAATTTTTATTTATGGGAAAGGACGACTTAGAATCATGCAAGGCCAATTTATGCAATGCCGGTTAAATACCGTAACGATATCAATACAGTAAAAAGTAAAACATGGTCGTCCAGATCTTTTAATTTTAATCTTGTTTATTTAATTGCTAAAAAATGTATACCAAGGAAATAACAAACCCTAATACATCATTTTTTTCTCGTTGTTATTGTTTTAGCTGGTCGTTCAGTCTTGAAAAGAGTTCTGCATTGCGCTACACAAAATTTTAGGTATGCTGGCTGCTCCGCCCTTGACGTCAAATTTCGTTGTTAGCAGATTTCTCTACCACGCTTAATTTTTTATGATCTCCGTATTTCTGATCAAAATTCTATCAAAGTTGCACAACATGAATTTGAACCAAAACTGAAAAATTATTGATCCATGAAGAGTTAGAATATTTGGGTTACATATTTTCAATGTCTGATTCCGCGACTGCTCCGGGTACACATACTACTGACACATTTATATACCATTGTAGAGAAAATATTTAATATTTGTAAAATATTTCTTGCTCTTATTAATTTTTAGTGTATGTCAAACATATACGAGGGTTGTCCCGTAAAATCGTGGACAAAGCGTTTTTCTCGAAAAGTAATGGGCGCACTAAGCTGAAAATTTCAGTAAATGTTTATTTATCATATTTAAGTGCATAATAATTTTTTTGATAAAATATAGGCAAAAATAAAGATTTTATTATGCTTGAATGTGCACGGGGTACTGTCCTACGGCGCACGGTCAAAAAACCAAGGTTTTATTAAAGAATACACAAGTTTGAATTCAAAATAAAAGTTTTAAATACATAAGATTTCGATTAAAATTATCCTAATTCAATTCCACAATCAATTTTGTAGTCTTTGTAAAAATATTAAGGCATCTGATTAATTTTTGGCAGTTTCTCGAGCATTCGAAATGGGAAAGTGGTAAACACAACACACGAAAAGTGGCGACGTTTTATGACGTTACGGCGCACCGGAGAACAGTTCAGTTTTATTTCGATGTTGTAATGACACCTTTAGAGACTTGAAATGACCATAATAGAAAAAAGATTATAAAAATATCACCATATCTTAAGTATACAAATGAAATAGGAGTTTTTTTAGCGAAGTTTTTTTTTTGACCCAGTCCCTGGGGAGTACAAAACATACGGTCACACTCCTAATGTAATAGCAAAAGACGCTGTCACAGTAGACCGCCAATATGAGATTTTCTATTAGTTAAATAATGGTGAGAATACTGTCCGTAACTTACTAATAAATCTTCAGAAGATCGCAGGAGGGTGCCAATTGGTTCTTCAGCTGTTTATGGATACTAAAGAATGTGTATCAATGAAATTCCTAAATTTAAGTCGGACTCATCCAACTTCATTTTCAGCAAAGATAAAACGTGACGCTGTTTTAGACACTTTGACGTTATAATCCATGCGCCGTAAGGTGATACAATACATGGCATAAAATATCATAATTTGTTTATTTATGCATATATTTTTCTGAAATTTGTTATGTATATTACTAAAATATGTACTAGATAATAGTGAAAATTTCAGAACGCAGTGATGTTTATTTTTCACACTAGACAACTTGTCCACGATTTTACGGGACAACCCTCGTATGCCAATTTTCACTGAAAGACGTTCATTAGAAAGCAAAATATACACAATGTCTCAATAATTTTCGAACAACCCTCGTACTTAATTAAATGAGATGTTTTATTCCATAGAATATAATGTAAACTACACATGAAAGTATTTAAATTGGTAGTAATTTTTTTTCAATAGTTATGATTTTTGAACATTATATAACGGTAGAAAAACATTGTTTCATTTCATCGTGCGTATTTTATATTTTCAGTTTTTCTTGTTCATGTTACATGTGTTTTGCAAACAATACTTAACAGTGCAAGGTAAGCTTTTTCAGGTTTACACTGACTCAGACTCTCGAATTTTTAACAATATTTTCATTCATATTGTAATTATTCAACATACGGTGTTTTATTATTCTTTTTAATCTATGTGGGTGTTTACTTTTTCAAAGGGCCCTCTGTCTTAGGGACATTCTCAAATTTTATTATTCTGAGGAAGCCTGCAGTTTCAATAAAACTCGCTTTACAGAAGTTTTTAAGGGTATTTATTCCTTTTTGAAAGTCTTTTTGTATATTCAATTCATTTTTTGATGATGGTGGACCTGTAATACAATAAAGAATATGCTTCATTAAAAATCATTTTAATAACTTGAAATCTTGAATAGAGACTATTTATATCACAAGATTTGAAAAATCAGATTGAACAATAAAAAGAGAATGTTTCATGTAAATATTGAATAATATTTTAAAATTGTTTTTATTCATTGCATGTTTAATTCATTTGATAGAAAACCAGAGAGCCTGTTTTGTCAATTGCTCTATGATATCTGGTTATTCCAAAAAGGATAATGGGCCGTATGAAATTGAGAAAATGGAAATAATTTTCTCCACAACCTACAATTTCACAATGTTCAAACCATGCGGTACATTTGACAACACTGATGCTTACATTACTGTAACCTGTGGTGAGAAGATATTTAATGGTGAGTGTATATTTCAATATTAGACGTAAAACATAATACAATGACCTAAATGCTCTGCATGCATGTGTAAGTTATTTAGCTCACTTTGCAAACACAGTTAAATGCATAAAAAACCAAATCTTGTGAGTAATTGATTTTATCACTAGTATCATGAATTAAAACGTTTTGAATAATTACCATTGACATCAGATTTATTAGCTCATTTTGGACAAGTGAGGACATCCAAGCACAACTTTAACGGACGAGTTATAAAAGATATTTCTTTTTATATACTCCACTTTCCATCCGGTAGAAGATCAAGTCCTTTTTAATTGTTTTATGCAAACATTGACACAGTGTTTAACTAGAAACCTTTTTTATGCATAAAGAAAGAAGAGTTGGTGAATACTGTACAAACAGTACACAATGTACACAGGGAAATCCCGATACGACCTGTAATAAGACCACTGGAGTCTGTGAATGTAAAGACGGTTACATCATGAGGTTTAATAATTGTTTTCAAGGTAAATTAAAAAAAAGAATGATATATAATATTAAATATTAACATAAAAATGAATTTTTGATTAAATAAACAACTGAACAAATATTAATAGTGAAAGAACGATTGTTATAAACTAAATAACCTGTTTTTCGAGGAGAACTAATTGAGAAGATTTCATTTCAAAGCTTGTATCGATTTCTTACAGGTGAATTGTCATTAAACGAGTCATGTGAAATAAACGAGCAATGCAGCAAGACTCCTGAATATTTGTTTTGTAGTCAAAATAATTCCCGAAAAGCATGTTTATCTTTACCTGAGCCCAAAGTTAACGCCCATAAAAGTGATGGTAAGTTGTTTTTTTTAATTGACCACAGGTGCTAAAGGACAGGAACTCCCCTCCCCGATGTAGACCCCCGGGTCTTTTCGACTTTTTTCACATAAATTATATATGGATGACACATTTGTGATATAAGCTAGTAATATATTCCATACATTCAGGATATTTCATTAAACAAACATTTTATAAAAATTTCTACCCCACTTAAAATATATCAACATGATTGATTTTTATATAGAGAGTAGGGTAGATTTCATGAAACTTTTGTTTACGATAATTTTTCCTTTTGATTTTATCACAAATATGTCATTGAAAGATAATTCATGACAAAAAATCTCGAAAAGATACAGGTGTCTATATCGAAATGGGGGTTCGTGTCCTCAAGCACCTGTGAAATTGACTATACTTAAATGTATGCTTTTGTAATATATTTCACCCCTAAAATTGCACTTTTCTGTTAAGGCCATTCCAAGTTTTTTCTCTGTTTAGCGTCCACTCATCTTTCAAAAACCTACCTACAGTGTACCAATTCGCAAAAAACACACAAGCCAAAACATGAAACACAAGCTTGAAAGTCATGAAAATGACGTCCTTCAAATGATTTGATCTAACTAAACTGCTTTAATAGAAGAAATATCTATTCTTAAGCAAAAACAAGGGATTAAATGCTTACAATACACCCAATATAACTTACTGTACAGAATTATTTGGAGAAATTGACAAAATTCAAAAATTTCGACTAAATTAATCAATTTCAGGACTCCTGATGTTGTATGTTTTTTTCTTATATGGGGTGTCAAAAACCAAGGCGCACACGGACGCTAAACATAGAAAAAACTTGGAATGGCCTAATGAGGAATACTAGAACAACACGCAGATTTTAACTTTACTATACTTGTGATCAAATTTTACTCTAATATCAAGCCCGAATGATCAATAATAAGGATATTCAATGCATCGCATGTGCTTCCAATTTACTAAGTTTCATCAAAGAAATTTCCGTAAATGTAGATACCACAGAGTCTAATACATATGTTTAGTATTTGGATATTTACATAGCAAAGGATATCAATCGTATCTTACAGCATAAATTTAAATTCAATAATTCTACTTAAGTTTTATCATGTTTACTTGAAAACAATGCCAGTAAGATAGATATGAAGTGGTTTTGTTCTTTTACACCCGGCGCAATCTGAAACGTCAAAAAGACAAATGTCAATGATTGATGTCTTTGGATAACATCTTCCAGTTTCCAGAATCAAATTAATTAATTAGTTAACCAAGCTATTATAAATATAAATGTGAAATATCTAAATTATTTCGATATTTTTAAAAATTATAATATGTAAGCAAATTATATGCATGTACAGGTATGAAATAATAATGATTTGAAAACCCTTTATTTCTAATAGCATTTCGTCTGACTTCTCTAATGGAGTTACACAGTCACTCTTGCCCAATTCTTTGGCCTGTCCTTTTTTTAAGTTTCCGTTATTCACATATATAGACATAGGCGTCGGAAGCAAATTTGAAAGTAGGGTGTTTAATTTAAAAGGGGGAGGGGGGCTGAACCAACAAAAAAGGTAAAACCCAAGTTTAAATGCCTATATATAATGTCTATCTTTGCAACAAAAAAAAAAAAAAACGGTCCGACGCCAATGCATGCAAAGAGAAACATTTCAGTCATTTTAAATACTAAAGACCAGACAAACATGTCCTTGTCTACATTTATGACTTGTACATTTCTGTAAATTGAATTCAGTATCAAAACATTTTATCATAGTCCACCGCGTCGCCTGTGCCAACGCAGCCGCCATTTTTCAAAAAGTCGGATTTCAAGCCGATGTATATAAAAATTATAAAATGCATATATGTCAAAGCATTAACACAAAAAAAAACTGAGAAAATAATACGATTAAATTAAGAGTTTTCATTCCCATACCCAAAATACTGAGTAGTTATTACTTTTCCGTAGGATTTTAAATATAATATATCAAATTTTAATTGCTCTTTTTGGGTACTGCGCCACGTTCCTATACCAGACAATGAACTGTATCATTTAAATAGGGTTAATTTTTGTAGGTACTTCATATCTGTCCACAAATTTATTAGTTTATGTTGGTTTAATCTTTATACAAAGTTTCATTGATATATGACATCGGGTTCCTTCAATAAAACGCTTGTCTACGTAATTTTGGGACAACCCTCGTACCACTTGAACATTTACCACTATATTACCAATCGCGTGAATGTCTTCAAGAGTTGCGTATGTACGGACAATTTATGACAGAGGAGCTATTGACAAAAAATGATGAAACAGTCGCGCTTATATTTACATTTTGCAAATTCTTTGTTCGATTAAATGATTTTATCAGCTAAAAAATTAAATAAATACGATCTATTGATAAGTTGTATGTAAAATGATTTTTTAAACAACTTGCTAGTTTTGACGCTAATTATCTAATGCATTTAAAAAGAATATCTTTATGCAATGATCAGACTGAATGGATTAATGCTAAAATCATTCAAGCGAGACTTAAAAAAAAGAATGCGAAAGCCATTTGATCAAAACTATTAACATATCTTTTTGCTACATAATTTGTTCAATCATTGTAGAAATGCATTTGCATCGTTCATTATCTAAATCGATTATCAGTTTTAAAAGGACATTTATAGTTCATATTTTTTTCTGCTTCATAGAGCCTCATAGAGCATATAAGATAGCATGAATTACACAAAATTGTCTAGACAAAAAAAAAATTATATGCTCCATGATGGAAAAAATGTGAATGTGAACTAGAAATGCCGCGGTGAAATGTGATTTTAGCACAATTTTCCCAAACCAGTATCTCAGCACACAGATTGACTGCTCACTTTGCTATTTCAGAGAGTATGGAGGAGAAAGACTTGGGTTCCTTCATTGGAGTCGGAATAGGGGGGTTTGTGTTGGGTGTTACTGTATGTGGAGTTCTCTTTATTAATCGTAATTCCTGCAAGAAAAAGGAAGACCACGAAAGGTTTTATTTTGCAATTTAAATTACAGATGTCAATTTATTTTTATTAAGGTAGGATTCTTCTCTCATTTCTTGAATTTAAAAATTAAAATAAATTTTCACAGAATCAAGAGGACAATATCACTAAGTGATGGTATCAGTGAGATTAAATTTGACCGTTTAATATTGGAGGCAAGGTCAGGTCAAGGTCATTACCTTTTTCCTGGACATTAAGAATAAAATTTACTGTTTCCAATCATGCGATCCCTACTTGTAATTCAAAAGATTGAATGTTTTTCTTTTTGCATAAAAAGATACTACCATATAGGGCCTATAAGATGATATTACCAAATTGACATGGATAATTTAAATAAAATGGATATTTGCTAATCCGTATTTCCTCTACTTTTCTTAAATTTCCAGGATTTATTAGTTATTTTTATATGCTTCCTATATTTAACTTTTTCCAATTTTCACATATAGTAAAGTTGTCACATAAAGGTACAAAATGATACAAAAACTAACAGTTTTGATCGTTAACTAAGAGAGAAATAACACTTTTTACGGATTTTTGGTTCAAATCTGTACTTGGATTTGAAGCATTTAAAATCCAACATAGTTTTACTATGTGTGAAAAATCTTATTAATTTGATATATTTGGAAACTTTAGTCCCTTATCATTAATTTAACTTACATTTGAAAATTTTGTCTAGTCTTTGATTGCGTAAAAGTTATAACTAAATTCAATATTCTATAATAATTTTGAGAGGCAGTAAAGAAGATATTTTCATACGCCACCATTCCGCCAAAAATATAGTCCCTGCTAGTTTTCAAACGCAGTTTACCATTTCTATTTAAAGTTGTATAATTGTGATGAGGAAAGAAAAATATGGTTTTTAAATCCCTTACATCTACATATATAAGACATATCAACAAATGTACTTTGAATTTTCCACCTAGTCAGAAACCAGAGAAGAATCCTACCTTAAGTTTCATTCCATATATGATTAACTATTCTTCAGAAATTCAGAAAATAATTCCAACAAACTTTAAAAAGAATTCTTGAATTTTTTTTTCATAAAAATCGCTATTTAGTCAAGAGGTCTCTGCAACTCAAAGCTATTGTCCGGAAGAGGGAAATGCTGGCGAATTCAAGGAAGAGAGAGGAAAACCCCAAATAAAGGCATGTAAAAATAAATAATTTTTTTTTTAAAGATATGATTAAATTTTTATTAAATTTATATGATATGTTTTAATTCATAATTAGGTTGCAGACAAATTATCTTATGGTACATCCTATGAAATAAATAATGTTCTTCAAAGCGATATTTACAACCATCTCCATGAAGATACGCATGCGTCGGAGACAGTGTCAGACTATGACCACGCCCCTTTTAATGATCCGGAAGGGGATACCTACAACCATCTTTTGATAACATGAAACAAGTCAAATTTTGCTTGTAAACTTATACTACATTCGTATTAGGCAAAGAGCTGTCAATGCTATGGACCCGAAGTGCAGTTTTGTTATAAATAGACTTGTTATGTTAAAAGACTTGCGTACATGTAAAGTAAAAATGTCGGTAAAAAATATAAATGTGTTATTCAATAATCCATAAGTGTAAATATGGCACGCCAAATTCACAAAAATGAGCAAAACATAGGGCGAATTTGTTGCACATAAACTGGTTCAGGTTTTGGTTTAAGGTTTAAAACTAGTTTTTAAACTGGTTTATAGTTTTAATCTGGTTTACAACCGTGAAACAAATGAACAGTTTGTGAACAGTTTGTGAACAAAGATGGCGCACTCTAAACTTGCATGTGCATCACTGATCATTAACAGCGCATTTTTAGAAAGTGATGATAAGGAGAAAGATAATGAAATTGGTGTGTTGTCTCTACTCCAAATGCAAACTTCAATGTGTTCTGCTCTAATGACCCTGGTCCCTCAACGTCGGTTGAGAATACCTCGTATGAATAATTACGTTGAGGAGATCATTCCCAAGTATGCCGAAGAAGATTTCAGACGAAGATTTAGAATGAGTAGAGCAACGTTTACATCTCTTTTGTCAATATTCCTCGAATTTAAAGACAAAACAATTATATCCATGGAAAAGCAGCTATTAATTTTCATA